ATTTAATCCAGCATCACTGCCAGATTAGTTGATCTTGAACAGGACAATAATGAAATGCTACGATCGTTTTAAATGACAGCCACTTCTCCTATTACTGATAGTTATTCAGTGATTTGCGCTCAGAAATGCAGATACAGACATATATATTGATTTGAAGACAGAATCAAGTTGTGCTGCTTCTGTGTTCAACTAATAGTCTGCCAGCATGCGTTATTGATGTAGTCACTTGAATGAAATATGTAAAGTTGCTTCTGCATTTGGAAATTTGCTTTTCACCCTTGGTACAAGTCTGGTCGTGTTGCAGTGTCACTGTTTTAAGTCCTAAAGTCCCTATTTGGGTCCTTTCACCTTGGTTCACACTGATGTGTTGTACATTATTGTATTTTCTTTTGGTTTGAATGAAACATGAGAAACTGATTTTGACTTTAAGAAGAACCCAGTCTGATTGAGCATGATTTGAAGCATCATCTGAAGGTTTAGTAGGCAGCAAAGTTCAGAGAAGGGTCACTGGACCTGAAACAGAAACTCTTCTTTCACTTCATTTGAACTGCTTTAACTCTGTTTTGAACATTAACTCTTTTTCTCTCCACAGCTGTGACCAGATCTCCTGTATTTCTCCAGCATTTTCTGAGATTAAATACCCATTACGTTACCAATATTACAGTAAAACAACATTTACATGGGGCATCTTTAAATAAGGATTTATTGTACTGTCAAGAAAAATTTGTGATGCAGAAAATGTAGAGTTTGATGTTCACTAGGTTATCATAATAGCGTAACTCAGTGTCACGTCAGTCTGAAAAAAGTATTTTAGGAAATAGGTGAGAAACAGACAAATGTATGAAATGTTCAAACAGCTGAAGGACAGTATAATATGCAGATGAAAAGCTATGCTAAAGCAATGTTTGATTTAATTGTTTACTTGTTTTATAGGATGATATCAAATGATTTTTCTCATAATATCAGGGTGTCCATGCTCTTTAGCTTCTTTTTGTGGATAACTATTGATATAATGCACATCTGTTTGCACGTGATTAGTTGGCATGTTACGGAAATGATACCAGAGCCTATCAGGCACAACGTATGACGGTTTCTAGCAGTAAGAATACCAATTCATTGCAAGGTTATTAGCTTGAAGCTGGTTACCCAAGCTGGAATTGCTATTCAAACCAGCTAACGTAGGAACACTGAAAACTTGAGCAGGATTAGGCTATTCAGTCCTTTGAGCCTGCTGCTCCATTGAATATGATCATGTCTGATCATTTAGCTCGGTACCCCGGTCTTGCTTTCTACCAAATCCTCTTGATTCCTTTAGCCCCAAAAACTATATGTAACTCCTTCTTAAAATAATTCATTGTTTTGGCCTCAAATGTTTTCTGTGGTAGAGAATTCCACAGGTTCACCATTCTGTGAAGAAATTTTTCCTGTTCCTCAAGAAATGCCTCCTCAGCCAGTTTGCACATAGCTCAGATAATAATGTAGAGATCATGAACTTTGAGTTCTGCTTCTTAATTTGGCTCCTAGTTCCGCATACTAACTATGCAGTACTCCCTCCTGTTGTCCTGCCTATATCATTGGTTCCTGCATGAGCTACGATGATTTCTCCTCCCCTCCCAATGCAAACCTCTCTGCAGTCCTGAGCAGATGTACCTAATGTAGGCAACACAAGCCATCTGGATTCAAGCTCTTTGTAGCAAAAAACGGTGTCAGCCCTCACTGTATTGTCTCCTACTACCACCATCTTCC